AATTCCCAATACCTCCATTAAAATAAATAAGTAATTAAATAAACCTAATTACCTCCCTCTCAAAACAAAAACAAAAAAACAAATAAATCTCTGTCTCTCCATGTCTGGAAATTCTCTTTTGCAAAAAATTCCAGAGCATCAAACCTACAAAGCCCAATTCCTACATTTTACAGATTGGACCACTGGGGTCCAGACAGGTGCCAGATGTAGACTTTGAGGCTGCACAAAGGGTTTGGCTCAGACATGGGCCCATAACCCACATCAGGGGATGCCATATGGAAGGAAGTGGGACACAAGGGAATGTAGGTGGTGGGTGGGCAGGTCCAGGACCCTCCCTGACCTCCAGCTCACCCCTCCCCCCCAGGCCCCCACCCAGGCCCATTGTGAGTTAGTCCTACTCCTTGTCTAACCTCAGACCTTCTTGCTGAAGGACCATCTCCTTATTCCTGTGCACCCCTTCGCCCAGCGCTCCTTTTCCCATCACCCTCCCTTTGACCACCCTGGAAAAGGAGGGACCCAGATGGGGGCTTACCTGCCACTGCAGTGAGCGGCTGTGAGAACCCACCTGCGGTCAATGAGGACCCCCCCACAGCGCAGGTGGATGCCCTCAAACAGCCCCACCTGCCAAGGCTGCGAATGAGGGACACACTCCTCACCATTATAAATCTTCTCCGTGGCCTGGTGGCTGAGCCCTGAGGACGTGGGCCAGAGAGATGGGGTCAGAGTCCTAGAGATAGTGGCTCAGATAGGAGGAAGGACACAGAAAGAGCAAGATAGAGGCGAGAGAGAGAGTCAGAGGCAGTGAGACACAGACCCAGTGATGTATAGAAAAAGACACAGTGAAACACCACAGTGACACAGAGAGGAAGAGAGAGAGAGAAAGATGCTTAAAGATAAGAGAGAAATAGAGATTCAGAGAGAGAGAAAAGACAGACATAGTGACAGGAAGAGACAGAGGGGAGATGGATCAGAAGATACAGAGAGAGAGAGAGGTACACAGGACCCCTGGAGATGGAGGCGAATGGAGTCAGAGTCGGCCCTGCTTCCCTCCTCAGTGCCAGGCATCCTCATGAGGGAGGGGGGCAGGGGACTCCTTTTCCCTCTGGGGAACTCACCAATAAGACACAGGAGCAAAAAGATGCTGGACTCCATGGTGGGCCACCTCCAGGTTCTGGGGGGGAAGTTAGGACATCTCAGAGATGACCCTTTCCTGGTCAACCGGACCCTCCCTTTCCCCATCCTTTCCACCAGCAGCAACCTGAGGAGGGGATGGTCCACATGCTCATCCCTCTTCGTGCCCATCTCCTGCATGTCACCCTGCACCGGTGACGGCTTGCCCCTCCTCACCTTGTCTCTGTGCTTGCTGGGTTGTCCGTGTGGCTGTTGCAATTTCAGCCTGTTGGTCTCTCTGCACTCTGTCTGGCCACCTACCCTTCTGTCCTTTCATCTGCCGGCCATCCTGCCAGTCAACTCTCCCACTGTCCACCTGGCCTCTCAGCCACCTGTCATGCTGCCTCACCTGCCCCCTCCTTCTGTCTGTCTGTCCCAGACCAGCAGCTGACACAGCTTTTAACTCTCTTTGTCCCAGCCCATGCATCTTCCGGGTTGAGGGAAGGGGACAAGGAGATATGGGTGGGGCGCCCTCTAATCCTGTAGAAACTCTTCCTGGCTGACACATAATTGTGCTTCACAGTTAAATAGAGGGGAAGCGAGGAGGAGGGGGACAGGATGGCTTTGGAGAGAAGACCCAGCCCGTACCTTCTCCCTCCTCTCCAAACCAGCCAGCAGCCCTGAGACCAATGACTCAAGGTGATGTGGGAGCTGGGTTCTAATCCCAACTCCAGTGACAAAGCCTCAGGGAGGGTGGAGCCCGTGGATACCTGGGACTCCTCCCTGAGTGGTGCAGGAAAGGGGCAGGAGGGTGGAGAGGCTAAGAGAGCAGGAGAGTGAAAATGAGAGGCTGAGAAAGAAGAGGAGGAAAAAGAAGAGCTTTCAAAATAGGTGAGACATTGTATATAAATCTCACATCTTTATCCAATAATCTATATTGAGAAAGAATGTGAAAAGGAATATATGTATGGCTGAATCACTGTGCTGTACACCAGAAACTCACACAACATTGTAAATCGACTATACTTCAATTTAAAAAATAAATAATTAGGTGAGACAGAGGAGTTTCCAAACTGGGATCCCAGGAAGTCTGGTTCTCACTGAATTTTTTAAATGCAGAATCAGTTCTGTTTCCTGCTTCCAGAAGCACAGGTCTTACTGTATATATGAGGTCAATTTATTGAATTCTATGAAAGTTTTTGTTTGTTTGTTTTTTTGTTTGTTTGTTTGTTTTGTTTGTTTGTTTGCTTTTTTTGGCACCGACAGAAAGAGACAGAGGACAGAGAGGGAAGGGAGAGAGAGATTCAGGATTCAGAATCCCTTTCTCACTCTCTCTTTTTGCTTTTATCTCTTCTTTTTCTTTTTTTTTTTTGTAAGTAAAATTTACACAACATAAAATCCAGCCTTAGAGCCAATTTAAAGTCTACAATTCAGTGAATTGCACTGCACTCACGATGTTATGCAACCGTCACCCCAATCTTACTTCCAGAGCATTTTCATCACCCCCAAAAGAGACCCCATACCCATTAAGCTGATGTCCATCAACTGATAAATGGATAAATAAAATATGATGTATCCATGGTATGGAGTAGCATTCAGCTATAAAATGAACGCAGTCCTGATGTGTGCTACAGAAGGATGAACCCTGAAAATGTCATGCGGAGTGAAAGAAGTCAGTCACAAAGGACCACAAGCTGTATGATCCCGTTTATATGAAAAATCCACAACAGATAGATGATGGAGCAGATGAGTGGTTGCCTGGGGCTGCAGGGAGTGAGGATGGGGAGTGCCTGCCTGCTTAGTGGGTCTCTTTTGAAGCACAGATTTGCAGCTTGTGGCGTCTGGATAAAGCCAGTCTTTTTGTAGCTGGAGGGTCCAAGAGAACAGAACTCCTGCTTCAGAGGAAGCTCTGAGCACCTTTGCCACCTCCGCCCAGGGAGTCCCCAGAATTCTCAAGTCCTGCTGCCTCACGCTTTACTCTCGGGTGTCAGCAGTAGTTCGATATGAAGCCCATTCCCTAAAGAGAACTCGGCCACCCCAACACGCGGGGTGACGTCCGGGAGCACAGGTTTTCACAGACATGGAAACTGAGGCATGCCTAGATAAAAGCACTTGCCCAAAGCCACACAGCTGGTAATAGGCAGAACTGGAGTTTGAACCCAGGTCGGGTGACGTATAAAATATATATATATATTT